ACCAATCCAAAAACATCTCAGGTGCTGGCGTTAAATGGGCCAGTCAGGACTTACCTGCAGTAAAGGCCGGAGGGATCCAATTCGCTGAAAGCCGCTATGCTGAAATAAATCAGCCTCTTGGCTTGGTTGGAGGATCAGCTGTCGACCTCTGTAGTTACTGCCCTCATACAACACCCACCTGGAGACAGACGGACATCGTTTTAGCTCGCCAGATTTTATCCATCGTTTCATTCAGTCCACCAAACAAGCCACGAAGCACCGTTTATGGACCTTTCTATGATCCAACCGTGACTGAAAGTTTTAATTAAAGCGCTGAAATAAACACTTTGTGGCAAAAGGGAAAATTTAATGTAAAGCCGGCTGGGGTGTGTAACTACACTAAAACTGGTACAATGCTAACACCTGGTGGTGAAACTTCAAAATTCATGCAAAGCTATAGTTATTAAAATATGTGCAGATATAAAAGCGGTCGATTAAAAGCTGGCAGTAATGGCAATAACTGGGAAATCGGGAAAATCAGCATATCGAGGATATCCGTTTATCATCTGGCTTTTCTTGTCCCACCATTATGGATCAGGCTAAGAGGTCACACGAAGCTGGTTATCAGTTATAATCAGTCTAATACATGCACAGGTCTATTGGCAGCACAGACACAAGCGGTAGTCAGGATAATATCACAATACTGAGGCTTCTAGAAAATGAAGAATATAAAGAAAACCTACAAAAACAGATCTAAATCTACTTTTAGTGAAACAAATCTCAGCTGTTTATTCATCATAAATCCCATTCATTTCAATTAGCTTCACTCTATATTGTCCCCTCATTGTCAGCTCCCTGCAGTGGCTGTATTGCTCCAGCTGGGGGTCCCATCACACAGTTTGTAAGCCTCCAGGTCACAGGAAGTGATGACTTTACATACAAAAGGCTGCTAATAAAAAGCGTCCAATTATTTGGATGAAACAAAACATTCACTGGGCTGACTTATAATTCAAGTTCAGTACTTTGTGGTGAACTGCTGATTACTGTTATAAGATAACAATATTTTCATTCACTGTTGCATAATTACGCTTTTATGACCAGGTGTGCAGACACACCTGAAAGGTCCATTCTGAACCAGAACCTGCTGCATATAAAACCTTGGTGCCGATGGCAGGTGTCTGTCACATTTATAAACCAGCAGAGGCTCAAACGTTCATCTCTGTCACTTACATTCCTCCGTCCACCACCAGGGAGCGTATGCGAGCGTCCAGGCCGGCCTGATGCAGGTTCACAGCTTCGCGCGTCAGCACCACCCTGCGACCTCTGCAGCCCACCTTCGTGAACAGGGCGATGGACGGCAGAGAGAACTCCTGGAGGTGGAGAGCAGAGGGTTGAGTTCACACAGAGCACCACAGAGGGCTGAAGACACGTCCAGGGAGAACAAACACTCACATGTCCTGCAGTCCGGATGGACCGGAAGCTCGAGTCTGAGGACAAGAAGCCCATGGCCTCTGTGCTGGGGTACTCCCCCTCCTCCAGGATGTACATGTTCTCCGTGAACTGGGATCCCTCATGTGCCACCCAGCTGACAACAAATATGCAGTATATTGAATGAAGCCATGCAAAAATGTTACCTCGTGCAGCAGCATTTCTGACCCCTCATGACCTCATAAGTACAGACGATAACCACATGACATCAATTCTGATAAAAACACATTTGAAGTTCGATAAACTGCAACCAAATCAATTTTCCACCCACTCCAAGAGTCAATCTTTTTTTGTTTAACTAACTCTGAGCATTAAAATCAGAAGATAAGAGTTTAATTCCTGACGTAGAGGAACAGAAACAAACATTGTTCTATATGAGAACGTCTTACAGGAGAGTACTCTGAAAAGGACAAAGATTCCCTAAAACAGGCTTGTGGTGGTTGTTTACCTGCCAGCCAGCACCTTACAGGACCTGGGTGTGAAGTCTTCATCCAGAGCTGCCGCGCTGTCCTCCAGACACACCAGCCGTCCCTGGAAGTGCTCCTCAGAGTAGAGCTGGACCTGTAACACATCCAAACAGCCTCAGCGACCCAGCAGCACACACTAACAGAGACTCCTCATCATTTCTGATTGATGCCGAGCTGCACACGAACGAGCGATACCTTGAATTTTGTGGTTCCCATGCTGTCCTGCAGAACAAACAGAGTTGTTAGAAATGCACCTTTTATGACGTTAAGCCTTTGTGTGATTAACGGATGCTGATGGTTTCTTACGTGGAACACGGGCTGTATGGATGCGATCCTGAAGTTCTGAGCTCCCCAGTCCTC